ATACATACATACATATCTTTTGAGGTGTGCAAGATATCTTATAAACGTTATGAGATATAATATAGATTATATCGTATGTTATTAACCAAATTAAATTACGATATCTAATGTGTTTATATCTAATAAAAGTTGTTAAAATATCTAAAATATCAAACAATTTATGAAAATTTCCTAATTTAAAGTTGGATATAAGATGATAAAGCGTGCAATATATAGGTTATCAGCTACTATTATCTTATACGAAACATCTTTTAATATAATCCTCTGCAATTTATGATGTTTTTATGTTTTGAAATAAATATTAATTTGGACTGCCGTAGAAGTAAGCAATAAATCGGAGTTTTAACACATATAAATTTAAATAGTTTTACATTTTGTAGTAGAACAAACTAAATAAATGCATCACGTTCTATCGTGCTCTTATATAGTACATACTACTAAACACTCTCAGCATGTGCAAGTGATCACGAGAATATTGCTTGAACATATTTCCTTACAAATAACTTTCTAGAGGCCAGCTGTACTAGCTTTCAAAAGTGAGCGCCTGAGCTCTCGGATGCCTCACTCCTAACACAATGCCATAGTAACATGGTATTTCAAGCATTATAAATGTAATACATGTACTTTAAAACCCCCAATCGAGAAGGAATAGAAGAATATTCGGTACTAACGAGGTAATATTGTTCGTTTATTAAAAAAAATCCTGGGGTTGGTGTAATAAAATGAGCAGTTTGTACATCCCTGTTGAGTTTGGTGATTATGCGCATTTGTGAATGGATGATTAAACAGAGATATTTCCATCAGCATTCTAAAGAAATATAGACACAAAATATGCATATGAAGTATGCATTCAAAATAGGATAGAAAGATTAAGAATCAAAAATAGAAAAATACACTGCATTTTTCAATCTGTTAAAACAAATGACTGAACAGTGTACTGAAAGTAAACAAGTCAAAGTATATCATCTAATGTATTAGAGCAAATGACTGACAGATTAATTATGATTTTGTCTATCCCTATTTACTTAAATGTTCAGTATAAATCGATACCTTACTCTATTTACATGATATTCCTTAGCAACAATATTGTTACTGTATATATAACGAGAGCACTGGATCACATAATTTTATATAATTTTTTTTTCCTAAAATAAACTGAAAATTTATACATGCTATTCAAATTTACTTCACTGTTGTTTCAGTTTCTGATATTTTTATTTCCTCTGACGATTCATCAGATTCTTTCCATTTAACGAGTATATAGGTTTTTTTTACCCTCTCGGTCTTTAAAATCTTTTAAACTTTGTATACATCGTCTTCTTTGTCATAAGTAATAAATATTGTTCATAAAACGTGCAATTTGTAGTTTATCCTTGCAAGTCTTGAAGTTTCTAAACTATCGGATCGCCTATTATAACTACCATTATTTTGAATATTAACCCAGCGAAAACCTGCTTTGAATTTTGAATGCCTAATGTTTCACAGATTTTGAATATTGGAGCTCCACATATATCAGTTGTCAAAAAGCTGAATAGACTGAGCCATACATTTTACCGATTTTATTTGCTTGCTCACTTCAACAAGAGCCATGTCGTTTTGATGTGTGCTCACTGTTATTTTATTGATTAGTTAGCTTTAGTAAACCTTAATCCATTTTCTTATTTAATTTTGAATAAAATACTTCCACATTTTAGTTTTGTTTGTTCTATTAAACCCTTACGTTACTGATACCTTTTTTTTTAAAAAAAAAATTATCCGTTTTCCTTGACGAATAAATTATAAACTGTGTACCTGTAAAACTTCTTTCCTTCATCAACTGTATCTTACATCTTTCGTTGATTGAATATATCTGCATAAGCGCTGTGAATATCATCTCCTATTTTGTTTTTACTTTTTAGCCCATTCGTATTTTTAAAAAAATATATATATTAACTGCTGTCAAGATATTGTATTTGTCGTTGTATGCTTGATATTATTGCTTGCCAATCGACGTCCGTGAAAGTAAAGCAGAACCTTTTGTAAGGTATATTTCTAGCTTGGTAGTGCAATATTTTAGCAGATTTTTCAGTTAACCATTCTTTTAACTGAACATTTTTTATTCTCATTTTATCTCGTTTCATTTATTTCCACAGTTGATTGACACTTATGTATGTATGTCTTCCAGGTCGTAGTAACGGTATCATAAACACTATTTGTTTTCAGCCATTTATAATGGTATGACAATCTCTAGAGTGTTCAATACGGTTGATATAATGTCTTTTGCCATGATGAACAAGCCAAGAGAACATCAGTTTAAAACTGGTGCTTTCATTTTCAACAATATGCAACATTTCTTTAATGCTATCAAACTTGTGAATTGTTTCAAAAGTATTTCATTTTTTGCCATTCCAATGCTTGATTAAAAATTTCATTCACTGAATCACCATGTGCTGTTTTGAATCGAACATGTTTTTCCACTAACTCTCTCACTATATATATATATATATATATATATATATATATATATATATATATATATATATATATATATATATATATATATATATATATATTTGTCGAATCATTGTATATTGACCTTTGATCTGTGCTGTAACTTTGAACATATGTGGTATTCAACAATTTAGTATCTTGCATACAGGGACATTTCTAAAGAAAGAAAAACTTTCCCAGGCTTTCCTCACTGGTTATACTGACTAATAAAAAAGAGTTTGTATATTGCAGGTATTTTTAAAAGAACATTCAATTTTTTTATTTTGGTTGCTGGGTGTATTATGGGTTATACAGTATACAGCTTGGCCTTACTTTATATGCATATGTATAAAAAGAAAACACTGGTCATTTTCACTTTCCTGGACATCAGATGTAAATTGCAAACAAATAATTTGAACCGATAATACTTCTTTTTACATTTGATATATTTTTTACACTTTATATAATTGGTAAATCAGTTATTGCACCTTCAAAATGTATTATCTTCTCCCGCTAAATTTGTTTCCCTATTTTTAAAACTGCTAATAGTAATGTACTCAAGACTAATTCAGGCTGATTTTTTTTTAGCACACGGGAGCAGTCATTTTGGTTGGCTGTATGCTTAGATTGTGTACAGTTTCCGCATGTACAATACCCAAAGAAATTTCGGCCAAATATATGAAAGTAAAATAGAGGTATTCACAGAATTCTCTCCATTGTGCATGTTGCTAATGTAAACAATTTCACCTTACACTTTGACTCTCTCAGAAGTTCATAATATCTGCAGAACGCACCAAAATGACCATTAGGTATTATTTTTGTATGATTTATTTTTGCTAGTATAACTGAAACATTTAAGTCGCAAGAATGAAAACAGTTCTTTTGAATACTTCTCATGTATTTCACATGGAACAGTATTTATTGGTAGCAAAGTCCCACACAAGCCACTTCCCACCTTAGATGAAAAGTGAGCTATTTTAAAAATGCACATTACATTTGCTCAATATAGCAACCAATGTTATGCTGAAAGACATTGACATGACATTTGTTAAAATTATTCTTGGGTAATCACTAATAAATAATACTAAGCTACTGGCAAGTTTTCTCACGTACACAAAATGGCTAATCCCGAGACTCGAACCCACGCAGACAGCGGTGAGATGGTAGTGATCCGATACGGTGAAATATTTAGACTACTCGGCTATAAATAAATTTAAAAAAATTCACCATATATATCTTTCATTTAATGCAACAGTTTTAAATTCAAGTTAACTTCATTCTTGTGTTGTAAGACTTCATATTTCCGATAATTACTGTTATTATACAGATAATACTGCCTCGAGGCAAATTGTGAAACCAATAGCCAATTAGCCATAATTAGCTCTAGCTTATTTTCAAACATAACATCAATGTTAATGTACCGTTTTGTTTAGAAAATCATACATGTTCATATGAAAATGAGAAAAAGTGGATTTTATACATAAAGTCTAGAAAAAAAGAGTCGAAAATTTTGTGACATTTTATATATTTCATGATTAATTCATTTATTGCTCTTTTAGAAGCTGGTAATGTCTAGTCCGGCAGAACTCGTTTTCCCTATTTTAATAACTGCAAAATGTAACACCTCTTGCATAATTTTACTCGTCCTGTAAGTAAAGTTTTTGCCATGTATCAATGTTTTCATAATTGAAAGCAATCTTCAAATCAGCATCTTTACTGAAACATTTCATTTTTTATTGTTTGAAACAGGCAAATCAGCATTACATCTATTCTTGTTTGAAAATGCCAAATCAAGATGTTGCCCGTAATGTTGTTTTGCATAACAGTTTAATTTGAATACAATTTATTCCTTGTCATAGATGTAGATAGGTCAACATTGTCACTTGATACAGCGACTGTTGCTTGATTTTTAAATCATTTAATATCTCTGTCACCTTTTTGAAAAATCTTGAGTTGAAAACTGCTGCATCATTTACATTGCTCAAAGATGGTAGTGCGATGTTTAAATACAGCTGTTTCAGCACTTTGTCAGTTTCAATAAAGGTGTTAATACTGTTTAAAATAACCGCTTTTTATAGTTATGATTCAATAGTACGAAATATGGGATTTCAGGGTGATATTTTTTGAAAATCCAGTAGTAAGAAACCAGTTCAGTAGCAAGGTTTAGGAACAATTTTTTTCTTTCTATTTTTTTGTTTTGTTTTGTTTTTATGCAGATTAAGCGAACGTGGTAAAGGAATATCCTCGTGATCGTTAGCACACACAGAAGCTGTTCCATTTGTAGATAACATAAGAGAATATCACAGAACAGCAAAATTAATTAATTAGCGATTCAGGAGATATTATTATCTGCTGCGTTGCGCCCCAGGAATATTAAACTGTTTTAAATTTAACTCTCATGTATTACGTACTGATAAATATAAATATCACCTTCTGCGAAATAACGTGACCAAATCAAAGCGACTTGAAAGTTTGGCCACATATTTAAACAATAATATATTAATACATGTCATGTTCTGTAGAATACACACCACTCCGGTAGCTTAGTGGTTGGAACGTTCGCTTCGGATGCGAGAGGTCGCGGGTTTGAAACCCGGTTGAGTCATACCAACAACATAAAAAAAATGGTACTAGGCGCTCAGCATTAAGAGGCTAGTGTTATGACTGGTCGGCCTGGTGTCAGGATAATGGGACTGGGTGGGACATAGTGCTACATGTCTAGACATCACTATAAACTGACACACATCGTAGCGATATGACAGAATTTTTTTTAAAAAAATTACGTTAAAAATCCAAACCACACACACAGACACACACAGATACACATACACACACAACGATCTGCTGAACAATCATACTATTTCAGTGTAAAAGGCTACTTTCAAATACATACTGATTTAATTTTTTTTTTCAATCGTGTATCAGTAATGTACACTATAGAATATAGTTTTACCCATAAATAGGATTTAAAAAAAAAAACATCGAAGTACTAGCGTTAATTTGTATGCTTCTGTATGACATCACACACAAAAGAACAGTAAGACAAACATTAATAATCGCTACAAGACGTTTTGATACAAATCATATTTTTACCAAACATGATTCACTGAAGTATAACCATCATGATGATGACGATCGTTGGAAGGAGAAAAAGGAGGAGGATGTGATTAGATTATGATGACAACGACGATAATGATAGCAATTGTGAAACTTAGTCAGGACTTCACCAACGGAACTTGTGTCTCGAGCATTCTAAAATGCGTCTGAATGTCTCATTGAGGAAATTAAAGTGCAACTAACTTTGATTAATGAAATATATGTAGTTCAGAGTTTAAAATTTTCTCCCGTTAGTTTCTCATGCATTTTTTTACGTTATATGCATTACTTACTCCGGATCCCATGTATCATTGACACTCACGAGAAAGCGCATCGTTGCCACCTTAGGGACAACGCCACCATGTAATCTGTTTGCATCTATTCCCAAGAAGCAAACGAACATCAAACCGCCAAGGATAAGATACATGTTCGAGCGACACACCGTTATGCGTAAGTCAGATGTAGACCAAAGCAAATGGCCTTGAGCTAGGGTCTCTTTCTTATCTAATTCTGGCCTCGTGTGGTTTGAAATCGGGACTTTCCCTTATCTTGTTATAACCACAACATTTACGACCAATATGGGTTAAAGTTAAGTTCAGTGTATGTATCAAACAATGATGGAAAATATTTGCTATAAACAGAAAATTAAAACAAAATTAAGATATCCCACTCCTCAAACAAATTTTTTTAAAAAAAATCCCGCTTCCATTTCACAACAGACGTTTGAAATGAATGCATACCCAGGGCTCAATCGGTCGGAGCCTTCTCAAATGGAAACCGACTCCTTAAAGGCAGATCTTTTTCAGGACTTTTGCATTTTCCATGGCTGATTGCTTACATATATGCCTGTGTAATTCAATCATTAAAGGTCAGTAAGCAGAAAATGTACATGCACAAATGAAGCAAACATTAGACTGGTACGGTACAGGTTGCTGGTTTGTCGATCTCTGTCTGCATTTTATGTACCTCTTGGTAAAAGTGACAGCTGGCATTGGCCAGTAGGACAACGCTTGAAATACTCCGATAACAAATGAAGGAAATTAAATAAATAATGCCATAAAATAATACTGTGATAGATTCAACGTACTTTAGAGAAACAATAGCAATATTTAATGAGTTTAGCATAAATAGCAGTAATCTCAATATCAACGGATAACGACTGATTATTTTCAATTTTGGATTGGAGAAACGTATAGTCAAAGGGAATGATTTACGACATAACATACGAGAGAATAAGACTGTTATTGTGTTGATTTTACACATGAATAGGATATCGTGCTATGTTTGGAAAAAGATGAAGCATTTACGATTATAACCAATGGTGATAGAGTAGCGTTAAGCATGATCTGTTTGCCGTCAATGATGCCAAAATACTATGATATAAAGAAGGTATCAGTTATATATTTAATGTATATAAAGACATAAATTTATTTTTGGAAAACTGAATGCACAATTAAAATGTCTTAAACTTCGCAAGGTCAGTCTACAACAACAAAACCAGAAGCAGAATTCAAGAAAAACTGAGCTCGATTGAAAACGGGATATGTAGAATCGGTGTATGAAGAAGTCATTTTTGAATCAATCATAGCAAAGAGACAATTTGACATTAATCTGAAATGGTTTATTGGTTTGGAAGAATTAAAGCAAGGTTGCAAATTGTTGACGATAAAAGTTCCATTTGTACATAAACGTCTTAGCTTGGTAATAACACCAAATGACATTTTGCCAAACGTAAGGTATTGGTTGCTTTTATACCGTTTAAAATGGCTGACGAAGGACAATGCATCTTTATTACCATCCGGAAGGTACACTTCCTGACATAAATATCAATCAATCGTGTGAAGGTATTACACTCCATCGGGAGTAATACACAAAACCCATCAAACAGACGTGTATTCCTACAACGATTTCCGAATTTATTTCTTGACTTGACGGATATGGCTGAGCAACGGCCGCCTGCCAGCGTGGACGTTCGATGGAAAAGTCCTCGGTTTTTGTGATACAAATCATATGCATCGAGCTCGGATCTGTAGAACTGACCTCGATTGATAAGAAATATCGTTGTCTCTTTTTGTAAAAGCGACTTGGGTGTATTCTTAATAATACCTTCAAATTGGTATGTTTTGGACGAACGAACATCCTGTCAGATGTGTACATTGTTACGTATATGTAATTAAATTGCTTGTGTTAGTATTAAAATTATTTTTATTTTTACCATTTAATTTTTGTTTGTATAGAACGCAAAAAAGTATTATATTAACATTATTTTTAGCTGACCTTTATATCAGACACTTGGTAAACACTGAGTTAAAATGATTGGTCAGTATCAAGGTCATACTTCTCTTGCGCGATCACCATGTGTTATCGACGTTTTTTTATTATTGGTTCTTAAACAAAACTATCCTGGAATACGCGTCAAATGTCTTGTAGTAAGTGATCATATGACCCATCACAAGTGTCGAAATGACAATTTAGTGAGGTTTACTACTCAATATCACTGCATTCAATTTTAGTCGTAAAATAATAAATTGACAATTCAGAAGTATGTTTGTTGTTGATAGATGAGTTTGTTTTCTATTATTCGGAATTAATAATTAATTCTCTGGGATTCGTTTACAAGTGCTGCTCTTCATAAAATTCTTTCACAAAGACATTTATTGGAAATTATTCAGAGTTCTTTCGTGATACGTAAAATTCAACATGGAACTTTTGACACATCAATACTGCATTCTTTTGACGTTATCGTCCACCATCTTTGAACTTCGTCAGGATTCTAACTTGGATTCATTATGGACAATTTAGTGATAGGACTTCTAATTTTCAATTTTGGGAATAATATTTGGATTATATTCACAAACTGTAAGTCCTTTTTTCATATTTTTACTATTTTTTTTCCTAGGGAAATAAATTATTTTTGTTAAAAATTGACAAGGCTTGTTGACTTCACTTTTTTGTTACTTTGAAAGAGCCAAGATTTGTAACATCCTCTCGGATGTGTGAAGAACGGAGTCTTATAATATGATAGAACAAAGATGATTAACAATCAATGATATACATGTACATTAAAATTTTAATGTTATTTTGGCAATAATAATTGAAGAAATCATTAAGTTTCAATTGCCTGCAACTAATGCTTATGGTGCTGTTAGTAATGATATGTCATTGCAACGTTATGAATTATTATATAACATAACAACCATGGATTTGAGGGCTCTTCAAAATAGCCATTAATTACGTGGCGCCCTACATATATCACGTACTTCTGATAGAGCGTCAAGTGTGTATGGTAAAGCTGTTTGCATCTGCAACATGCACAGTGGAGAGATTGTCGAACATCCATTCTGTTTTCTTGTACTGTGGCTGAAATTTCTTTACAAACTTTATTCGTAGAAACTTTACACGATCTAAGCACACCGTTGAACAAAATTGCTGATCCCATGTATGGGCAGCCTTCACCGCCAAAAGTACATTAATCAAATGATGTAGTATGAAATCAAATGATTTAACCCAGGAAATGAAATGATAAATACAGATTCCAAATGATGTGGTGTCACATGAAATGATTTAGCAAACAATACCGAATGATGAATTTATATTTAAAATGACGTGGTATTAAAAGAAATGATGTAGTGTGAAATGAAATGATTTAACACAGCAAATGGAATGATGAATTCAGATTCCAAATGATGTTGTGTGATATGAAATGATGTAGCAAGAAATAAAATGATTGAACCCCAAAAAATGAAATAATGAATTCAGATTCCAAATGACCTAGTATTAAATGAAATGATTTAATATGAAATTAAGTGATTTAAAGAAGGAAACAAAATGACGATATCTGCTTCCAAACGAAGTGATATTTAATAAAATGATGTAGTCTAAAATGAAAGGATGAAATTTCCCGGGTTAAATCATTTGCTTTCATACTACATCATTTGATTAATGTAATTTTGTCGGTGACGGCTGCCCATACCCATGTGCTCGACAAATCAGCCGAACTAGTAGTCGTCCACTAACTTTAGCAGTTACTAAAATATGAACAACGAATTTTGCCAGAGTAAGCAATACCAGTTTTTGAAAGTGCAATGAATGAATATATAACGTGAAAGTTATTGGCTCGTTTTTTGGGGGGTGGGATGGGGCGAGGGTGTATTTTTAAATTATTTGCAAAGTCCAGGAAGTGAAAATGACCAAGCGAAGCTACTAGTTTTTGACAGATGCACATCTGAAGTAAGGCCAATATGTATGTATATATATATATATATATATATATATATATATATATATATATATATATATATATATATATATATATATATATATATATATATATATATATATATATATATATATATATAACCCACATCACTGTAAACACCCATCAAACATAACCAAAATAACAGGAAATAAAAGTATATATCTAAGATATAGCAGTTTATTTTTAAATAGCCAGTATAACCAGTGAAAAAAACCTGGTATATTCTTTTTCTTGAAACATTAAACCCTAGC